GTAAGTTAAGGCAATCACCAGCATACTGGCTAGTACATAATAAATGCTAAATAAATAAGCATTGATGGAGGATGTTGCTGTATATTTATCATATTGAGTTAAGTTGGGTGAAACTATCCATGAAACTATGTATTTTTCAAAAAGCAATTCTTTTTTATATCATAAAATCCCAAAATATAATTGATTTGATTCATTCTTAATTCATTTAATATTTGATAATATAAGAAGTGACAATGTGCCAGATAGGCTATGTTATAATCTAAGTTGAATGAAATTTGCTGTAGTATTGAAAGTAAGTCTTTAATGGAGAATTGTGAAAAGCGATTTGTTCTGCCTAGAACAATGATTATATAAATATATAGCATATGCTGTTCTCCTTGCAATCTTGAAATCTGTGGAAGCCACAACTCAAATTGACTCATCAAATGCCACAGAGACTGTGAGCAGAAATATTTTGAAAGATATTACCTAAGGGATTGTGCCCTGAGCCCAATTATGGGCAGACAGGCTGGGTCTATGCCTTCCCAGTGTATTCTAAGAATTTATGGCAGCACAGGGGCTTAAAATATCAGCAAATTTGGTAGTACAGATGCTCTATTAATTATAAAACAATAAGTGCTAAAAGAAATTCTTTTTTAAAACAAAGTTATCTCCATTATCTGCATATACATGATTTATTTGGGGAGAGGATTAAGATTTTTAATCCCATGATTACAGTTTCACTGAATATTGGACATTATCCAGCAGCACTTCATCAGTTCATTGAAATATATTTAAGGAATACAAACAACTTCATAGAAAGCAAATTAAAAATTGAAACATTTGAAAATCAAATAAGCAATTTTCTATAGCTGCACTGTAAAGTACTATTTCTATTTTCAATTTGTTAAAACAGTCTGCTATACATTCATTAGTGTGAATAAACAAGAATGAATTGTTAATATAGATTACTTATTCTGAGTCTCTTTATACATTCTTCTATTAGTATTATTCAAAAAAATCTCCCACATCTTGATTATGTGACTTCAATTCCTCCTTCAGATGTCCCTTTGCAAAAGTAGTCTGAATAAAGGGACTGATTTTTTGTTTGTTTGTTTGTTTGGGGAGATGGTTAACTGGGGAGCTATTTTTTTTTTAAGTCCCCAGAATCATTTCCCAGATTTAGGCTAACTTTGCATATTCGTTCTTCATTCCTTTCTTAACTAAATGCCAGAGGCTCTTGATTTTCCTTTTCCTCCCAGCTCTTCTATCAATCTACCTTGGGATTTCTCTCAAACTAATGGTGAAGTGAAACAGGATTTACTACATTCCCTAAGACATCTCTGGCTGAGGCATCTCCTTGGTTTCAATCTTCCTTCTGTCTGAATTTTCAACTTTTGCAGGTAAGACTGAGTTTTACAAGAAAGCCTGAGAATGAGGCAAGGTTCTTTTTAAGTGTCTTCTTCCAGTGAGATCATTTACATTTCCAGCTGAACCTTTTGGCTAGTGCCTTCCTACAGATTTCATGTAATGAGACACATAGAAAATTATAGTATTTTTTTCCCCAAGCCAAACTGTACTCAGATTTATTAAAAATACTCTTCATAAACAATCATGGTATTTCATGTAGGACATGGATTGATGGTATAACTTTCAAACTCCCTCTATGATGGACTGCCCAAATCAGGAAGCCACCATAAAACCCAATGAAGTCTTCATTTAATGTTCTGAATAGGAAAAGTTTGGACTGAGGTTTGATATTTTACATTTAGCATGTTGTTTTAACAACTTTTCATGAGTTGAGCCTGAATTTCAGGAACTGAAATGAAAATGGCAGAATTACCAATCTGAAGATTCACAATCTAGAAAAGGAACTGCTGCACTTTTGAGGGACATCATTTCCCTAATGTCACTGGAAAGTCCAGATTGACAGGTCTTCATGAAATTGGTGAAACCAATTTTGGGAAGTCAGGTCCCAACAAGTTTCTGGGTTCATGGGAGTTAAGACTATGTCAATGGCAGAGAGGGAGAGAAGAATATAAAGATGAATTTGAGAAAATGATTGTATTTTTAAGGCATACATAATGTAAGCACAAAATAACCTGGTCAGATACAGACCTCACAAATTCAGCAAAGCCTTTATTCAGCAGCAGAGTCTATCAGTCAGGCATCAGAGCACAGCTTTCTGGACCAAAAATGGTCCCCAATTACAGCAGAGGTCTGTGTTTATATAGGTTACACACTGGGAGATGACTCAACCAATGAAGACCTTAACAGAATATATTAGTTTGGGCATTCAGGAAGCATTTGCGAGAATTTGAAATTTGTTTTTACTGGGTAAGAATGGAGGGCTCAGAGTTCAGCATTTAGTGCTTATCTCTTACCTTCCAGGGTCTAATTGTACTGTCACTGAGAAAGGATTTATATGGGGAAGGATCAATGTTTTGGCTCCTTCCCAGAGATTGTCATTTTTAGGCCTGATGGACATCTCCTTCCTAGGGATGGTCTTGTCACTGGGTAAGTTTTGTTTCCCTCCCAGGGATTGTCCTTTCACTGGGAAAGGATGTTTTGGGAAAGGATCAATGTTATTAATATGTTGTTTTCTTCCTCCTTCTCTCTTCCCAGGCTACACTGTTTTGAGGGTTGTCATTTCTATATCCTTCATATAGAATCACTGTGGTTATTTCTGCATGGGGTGCTAAGAGTGCCCTAGGCTGCTACTATGAAGGAGTAAAATACCTCAGGAGGACCCATAACCTGTTCTTAATGGATTTCCCTTCCCCACTGTCGGGAATTTGTAATTTAAAAAAAAGATGGTACCTATCCCTGGGTGTCTTCCTAGAATGGGAGTTCCACTGGGGGATTTTTTTTTTTTTTAAAGTGGTTAGACAGCTGTTCTCATTGGTTCCTGTTGCTTTTTAAGATTTCTATGTTATCTGCCAAGTGGACGTAACTGGAGCAGTTGGAGTATTTAGGATTTGTTTTTTTCAGCCAGGCATGATGGAGCATGCCTGGAATTCTAGCGACTCTGGGGGTTGAGGCAGAAGGATCTCAGGTTCAAAGCCAGCTTCAGCAATTTACAATTGAGCTACATACCCCAGCCATTTTATTTTTGATTTTGAGGCAGTTTCACTAAATTGCTTAGGGCCTTGCCAATGTACTGAGGCTGTATTCCTCCTGCCTCAGCCTCCCAGTTGATGGGAATACAGGCATGTGTCATCAGGACTCTGGGCTTAAATAAGGTACTTTTGTGTAAACAAAACATGACCTTACATACTAGATGTTAGACTCACAGCCTGGTGGTAGGCAAGAATTAGTTTCTATTCTGAATTCAATAGATTATTTTTCAATTCAGTTTAATACATAAAGTACAAACATAACAGTGTTTTCTTCAAGGCTTAGAATTCCGAAGAATATTTGCCATTTGAAGGGAGGCAGTATAAACTCCCTTCCTTTATTTTTGGAATGGCTTGAGTTTTTTCAGGTTTCAGTTTAGATATAATGGAGGCCAGGCACAGGGATGCACACCTGTAATCCCAGGACTAGGGTGACTGAGGCAGAAGGATGGCAAGTTCAAGACCAGCCTCATTAACTAACCCTGTCTCAAAATAAAAACATAAAAGGACTAAGGAGGTTGAGTTCAGTGATGGAGTGTTTGGGTGCAATCCCTAGTGCTCCCTGCTCTCTTTATAAAGATGTCCCACTTTAACTTACATCATTCTCTTGTTTGCCAGTCTTTTGGGCTTCACATATACGCATATTAACTTCATTTTTGGTCTGTCAACTTTATTCAAATACAAATCATTGAGCAGAGGTTCCCTGTCTATCGGTACCTAGCATAAAGCCTGGCAAAGACGACACACCCAAATTTGCTGAATGAATGAAACTGAACTTATGCAAAACAATTTATTTGAAACAAAATTTTAAAATGTCTTTTTTATTTTTCTATTTTATTTATAAATATTGAATGTTGAGTCTCAACGTTGGGTAACATTTTATATAAACTTTTATTTTTTGTTGTATGTTAGTCTAGATTTACAGAATAATTTAAAAATCCACAGCAACACATTACCCACATTTGCTTGTGTTCTTCGCTCATTCGAAAACTTTTCCCCCTTCACCCTGACTTGAAGCCTAGCAGCTTGGGCGTACTTGACAAACCACTAAGTGTATCATTGGAAACCCGAGAGCGACCGTGCTTTCAAAGCTTAATCCCAAATTAGATGAAATCGACCCACTTCTCTGCTAGCCGTGTTGGACGACTGCCCCCGAGTACCGGACACAGCCTTGGTGTCCCAATTTTGGGTCAGCATTACTTTCTAATTGTTAGACACGACTTGGCGTGCGAGCGAAGCTGTGGACTCGGAGGTGCGCTTTTGGGGCGTAACCGAGCCATTTAAATCAGCGAATCCGCGTTCACCGAGTTCTTCCACCTCTGGCTCATCTTGGCAGATGCTCCACGGGTCCGCACCAACTCCCGAGTCCAGACCGTCCTCCTCCTCTCTCCCGGCTGCCCGGACAACTCAGGGCCGCCGCTTCTTCTCAAGGAAGGGTAACGATGAAGTTGGAAAAACTGAACTAGGTCTATAACAGCGCACGAAACGCACTTTTGAGGCTGCTTCAGGGCGCCGGGGAGGGCGGCGAGCAGCACCCGCGCGAAAGGGGCGGGCCGGCTCGGGCCGCTCGCATTTCCTGTGACAGGGGCTGCCCCTGCCTCTCCCTCTCCCGCGGCGGCGGGACCATTTCCTGAATCGCTGAAGCGGAGGGAGGGAGGACTGTGGCACGGCTCTACCATTAGCACAAAGGAACGGGGGTGCCTACCAGAAAAGGTCGGGTGTGCTCCAGAGCATTCAAGAATGGAGAAGTTTTTTCGGAGCTGTGGTTTCTAAAAACCGCACAGAAACAAGATCTCCACGACCCGGAGTTCCTCGTTGAGGGCAGACCAGTTGGTTGTTTGCTCGGCACTGGAGCATCCCCCCTCCCTGCATTCCCGAGGTGGTTCCGCCCGAGAGGCCGGCGTCTTTCCCCCAGTTTGCCGTTCACCCGGAGCGCTCGGGACTTGCCGATAGTGGTGACGGCGGCAACATGTCTGTGGCGTTCGCAGCCCCGCGTCAGCGAGGCAAGGGGGAGATCACACCCGCCGCGATCCAGAAGGTGAAAGCTCTCGGGGCTGGGGATGCCAGGCTCATCCCGTCTTTGCGAGAGACCCCGAGGGCAGGGCCGGGCGGGAATCGGCCCGGCCGGGGGCGGAGGGGGAGGCGGAGGCGGGCCTGCTTGGAAGCGGCAGTCTATGGGAACCCAAGCCGCGGGCTGTGCCTGAGTGGGAGGCTGAAGAGGGCGAACCGGTTTTTTTCTTTCACGGAGTCTTCCGCGCGTTTAGGCTCTTAGAGGCACAAAAGCCCACGCAACCGTCGCCCGATTTCTCTAGGGATGGGGCGGCGTTCGGACGGCGGGGCGCGTGCGCCCGCGCGGGGAAGGGCAGTGTGTTGAAGCCTGCGGCCCCGCGCGTCGCTCAGAGTTACTTTGGCGTCGCTCCGCCCCGCCCCGCGCGCCGCGGCTGCCTGGTGGGGACCCGTCCTCAAGTCTCCCGGCGCAGAGGGAGAGTCGGAACCCCGTAAACTCCCGCGGAGTTGGGGATGTCTCTGGAGAACTTGAGAACCTTAATAGAGTCTTTGCGGGCTGACGAGGAAGAACTCCATGGACTTTGGGGGTCATCCTGGGGCCCCTTTCTGCTTTCTAGATCATCCCATGTACATTTATATTTGCAGCAAATATTTCTGGAGTGCCTATTGCAAGCTTTGGGGTTACTGTGGTGAGCAGTGAACCCTGCTCTCCTGGAGCTTGCAGTCCAGTGGTGGAGACACTCCTGACTAATTACATAAGTCGTGATAAAAACACAAGGGGCTGCGTCCTCCTTAGAAAAGCTACTGCAGTCGCTGCGGTATTACTGCCAGTTGGGGACACAAAGATTCTGTATTATCCTCCTCCCTGTTGTTGCCTATGGAGCGAGGCAGCTTTGTAAATTGTAGTGGGCTGAACTTGGAAAAGTTACTTGCTAATTTTAGCAGTTTATATTAAATATTTCCATTTTCTTTTCTGCACTCGAGCAAGGATGAAAACAGAAGTCAACTTTTAATGCCACTCAGGGAACCATTGTGTGCCCGTAGAATATGTTAATCGGTTTCTGTTTACTGTCAGATTCTTTGTGGTGTGGCATTTGACATTTGCCCAACTGTTGCTTTATCTCATGAACAAACCGGCTTGTTAGTGCCTGGAAAAGCAGTGCTTTGGTGTAGTGCGCTGGACTAAGCCTGCAGCCTGGCAAACGGCGTCAAGTACACATGCACACAAAACATGTTTCTGGAGGAGTTCTGTCTTATTTTTGGACTCTAAAAAACTCTGGAATTTTTCTTTGTTCCTACAAAGTTTTTCTTATGTAAGTCTCAGGCTGTTTATCATGGATAATTAATTTAGAGGATGCTGATTATCGTGACATGAGAGGAGAAAAATGAATTCCAAACTCAGTGCCTCATCTTTAGTGTCGAATTGATATTATATATGAGACATATTTTAATTTCAAGTTTATTAGATTGACGAATATACTGGAGAAGATACGTTGTGAATTCACTAAACTGGAGTTTGGATTAGGATGTTGAGACATTAAGTGCAAAATTTTTTTTGGCATCCAGGAATTGTATTTATTACAATCTTGTTAGACCGTTTTTCCCCCTCAGCAAGGGAAGATTATGATGAAGATACAGGAAAAAAGTCACAGCTAATGTTATTTATTTATTTTGGTACCAGGGATTAAACCCAGGGGTGTTTAACCACTGAGCCATAGCACTTTTTTCATATTTATTTATAGATAGGGTCTCCTTGAATTGGTTAGGGCTTTGGTAAATTGCTGAGGCTGGCTTTGAACTGTCATTCCTCCTGCCTCAGCCTCTTGAGCCGCTGGGAGTACAGGCATGTACCACTGTGCCCAGCACATCTAATGTTAAATGGGTCTTTTTTAATGAAAAAAAAATTAAGTTATTTAGATAGCGATTATAGCATTGTTCTTTCATTGAATTCTGGAAGACTAGGATAGGTGTATAAGGAATGTCTCTTGTTCCTTGATCTTAAAGCTCCTGGAAACTTAAGTGGTTTGTTCAGGATAGCAAAGTTGGCACTAAAACTAACTGACCTTTAATTGCCATAATTAGTACTCTTTCAAAGAGTGTGACTTATTTAACTTTCAAAGCCAAGATGGCTTAGAATTGTTACAAGAAGAATAAATTGCTATTTTTAAAAAAGTTTTGAAACAACATATATCTGGTAATCTTACAGGTCTGTATTAATATACATGTATAGAAATCTTTGTACTTTATTATTATACATATTTGGAGAATCATAAAATCATACTGGTATAGAACTTGGAAGCTAGCCACTACCTTATCAAGCCTCTTGAGCTGAAATTTTCATGTATTTACTTAATTCTGTATAATAAGGACAGACTTTCTCCTTACAATTACTAAGCTATAGAATGATGCAAAGCCAACTTGGACTCTTAAATTTTAGTCTTAACTCGCTAAAACTACTTTTACAGATAGCAGAGGTAATTAAATGTTTGAATATAAAAGAAACCTAAATTTTCCTTTCTGGGCTTCAGTTAATAATACAGAGGGAGAATACTTAGAATAGGGATATTTAAAATTATTGATTAAGTATGATATCATTCCAAAGATATAAAATAGTTTTTTTGTGGTAAACCATAGTAGGTGTAGGAAAAGACCTAAATGAATTCAGTTTCTAAATAAATAAAGTATTTCTAGAAATCTGAAGGAAGAAGTATCACTTGTTTAATACATTGTCCATATGAACTGTGTATTGCATACTTTTATAAAAGAGATTTCTTTAGTGTGTAATGAAATTTTATGTGATCTAATTCACTAATCCCCTTTATAATTTGTTATTAAAATGAATTTTAAAATATAGCAGCAAGTAGCAACATTAACAAAGTATTTTTTAAGAGAATTATGTTTTTTGTGTTTTCATGTTTGCTTAAATTATTTTAGAATATATAACAATCGTTTCTGGGTAGCAATATATTGTTAGGGGGTGCACTTTAATGTTCTTTTATAAGCAGTATGTATTAATGCCCTCCCTCAAATTTTCTAGTTTTTTATTTTACTTGACAGACTTTACAATAAACTTTTTCTAATTTTATTTCAGATGTTGGATGAAAATAACCATCTTATTCAGTGTATAATGGACTATCAGAATAAAGGAAAGACTTCAGAGTGTTCTCAGTAAGATTGATAAGAAACATTTTTTTGTATTCATTTTTCTGTGTGTGTATTTTTTTTTTACTTTTTCATTTAAAACAGGTTGAATTATAACTAAAGTGTAAAGTTCAGTGTTTTAAAAATATTTTGTAGAGTTATGCAATTTTAGAAAGTTTTCATCTTCCCAGAAAGAATTCTTATGCCCTGTAGCAGTCATTTCCCATCCTCCTCTCTAATCTTTGAACTCCAGATCTACTTGCTATTTTTATAGATTTTAGATTTGCCTATTGGATCCAGACAATATGTGATCTGTTCTGAGTTTTTTCACATGGTAAAATGTTTTCAGGATTCATCCATGTTGAAGCACATATCAGAACTTCATTTTTATTGCCAAATGTTTTTCCACTGTACATTATTTGTCAGTAATAGACATTTGGGTGGTTTATAATACTGCTATGAACCTCTGTGTACAAGTTTCCATGTCTTTCTTGGTATTTTACAAAAGAAAACTTTCTTTGTGAGGGAGGTGGGTATCAATTTTTTTTTACACTTCTTACCCTGTTTTATAAATAATGAATTCAAATCTGTATCGATCAATCTATGGAAAAGTTAGATATTGATCTATGTAGTATGTTTATTTGCTTCTGTGATATAGATGAGAAAGCAAACCTATGTTTAATAAATAATTGGTTACTGTTTATGAGAACCACACTTTTTAAATTTGAAATTATATGTCTGAAGTAAATGGTATATCCTAATTGAAACTGATATGATAGAATAAGTTGAATATTTTATCAAACATCTCTGGAGGAGCATTGTCTAGCAGATATTTAAATGTAGGCCACATATGTAATATAAAATATTCTTGTGGATGCAGTATATAAATAAAAAGAAAAAGGTGAAATGAGTATTAATGATATATTTAAACTCATTATTTCCAAAATGTAATTTCATTATGTAATCAACATAAAAAGTATTAATGAGATATTTTACATTGTTTTATTCATACTAAGTATTGAAAATCCATTGTGTATATTACTATAATGACACATCTCATTTTGAATTAGCCACATTTCATTTTGTCTAGTACTGCTGTATTGTACAACACAGCTTTTGGATATCTTATTGAGACCATTTTGTGGGGCACATCTGTCTTTCTTAGCAATCTTACTAGTCTGTTTCCAGGCAGACATTCCCAGCAACCTCTGGCTGGCTTGCTTTTCCTTTTGTGCTGGTCTCTTAGTTGTTGTTTGATTCACTACATATTAATTTCAGGTCTTTGTTACTTTTTCTTCTTTGTGTAGAACTATTTTGAAATCAAAAAGTTGTATTTTGTTTTTGTAAAAACAAAATCATCCAGATTTGATGGTGCACACCTCTAATCCCAACTACTCTACAGGTGGAGGCAGGAGAATCACAAGTTCAAGGCTGATGTAATTAGACTCTACTTTGAAATAAAGTGAAAGGCCTGGGGGATAGGAGGATAGCTTTATGGTAGAATACTTGTTTAGCATGTGCAAGGCTGTAGGTTCAATCCCTGCTATTGTAAAAAATTTTTAAAAAATTAAAAAATCAAAGTATAAAAACAGAGAACATAAGTAATCTTTTTTATTCCCAGTCTTATTTCTCTCCCTTCCACAGTTGACTATTTTTAATGCTTTAGTATGTATCCTTCCAAAAACTTTGCTGTACATTTATATGTTGTATTCATATCTATGTAAACATACACAGATAAATATTGTTGTTCTAATATTTTTGTAGATGATAGTTTTATTTTTTGTGGTGCTGTGGCTTAAACCCAGGACCTTGCACCTGCTAGGCAAGTGCTGTACCCTGACCTGCATCCGTAGCTGTAGGTTATAGTCTTTAAATGGAATTACTGGGTCAAAGACCATGCTAAATTGCCATGTTACCCCACAAAGAGATGGTATTGGTTTGCTTTCCCTAATCAGGTTTTCAGAGTCCTGGTTTTAAACCATACCTGCCATCAGTGAGTATTAGCCATCTTTTAAATATTTTTGTCCATGTGATTGGTGAAAAGTGGTATCTTTTTAAATAAAACATTATTTTGAAATAATTTTCACGCTTAATGAAGGTTCAAAGATAGCACAAGAGACCAGGGGTGGTGGGGTGGGGGTGCTGGAAGGTATGGTGTATGCCTGTAATCTTAGCTGCTAGCAAGGCTGAGGCAGGAGGATTACAGGTTCAAAGCCAGCCTCAACAACTTAACAAGGCCCTAAACAAATTAGTGAGACCTTGTCTCAAAATAAAAAAGTAAAAGGGCTGGGGATGTGGCTCAGTGATTTAATTCTTGGTACAAAAAAAGAAAAAAACCACAAGAAATTTCTGTGTGATATTCACTGAAATTCCTCAAATGATAACATTGGCCTATTTGCTCTTTCATTTTTTTATCATAGTGTTTTTTTTTTTCCTGGAACATTTGAGAATAAGTATAGATTGTGAGTCTCTCTTCTTACTTTGAGAAATCTCAGTATTTCCTAAAAACAAAAATATATTTCTAAATTGCCAGAATGTAATTGTCAAAATCAAGAATATAATACTATTATTCATTCTTTTTTTTTAAACATATACCTTAGAGCTTTATTGAAATATATTTTACATCCTTTAACATGCAACTTTTCAGAGTATACAATTCGGTGGCTTTCAGTATATTCATAGGTTGTACCACCATCACCACTGCCTTAACATTTTTTCATCAATCTGAAAAGAGATCTCTACTATTACTCAGTCTTTATCACCTTTTCAGATTTTGCCAGTTGTCCCATTAGTGTTTTTTTTTTTTTTTTTTCCTGGTCCAGGGTCCAATGCAGGATCAGATGTTGCATTTATTTTGCATGTCTTATCTTAATACTTTAATTTGGAACTGTTCCTTTGTCTTGTCATTATACTTTAATCTAGAATTATTCTTTTCTATCTTGAAATTGATGTTGAAGAATACAGACCAGTTATTTTTTGGACTGTATTTCTTTTAGGATTTGACTGCTGTTTCTTCAGGATTAAATTCACACTATGTACTTTGCTAGTAGTACCACAGTCACAATATTCTGTCCTTCTCAGTCCATTCTTAGTTTGTCCCAATATTGGTGATAACTTTGACTTAATTAAGGTGGTGGCTACTATTTTCTCTACCATAAAGTTATTGTTTTTTTCCTTTGTAATTTATATGTATTTTGATGGGAAAATACTTTGAGACACACATATGCTCTTATCATACTTTTACACCTTAATTTTAGCATCTCCCAGTGATTTGTTTCCTGATGTAGTTATTATTATAGTCATTGTCAAATGCTAACTAGACCCATCATTCCTTCTGTATTTATTTGGAATCCTACTTAAGAAAGATATTTTCCCTTCTCTCCCCCAATTCGTTAATTCATTCCTTTATTTATATCTGAAAGGACTTGCACATTTTTGTTGTTTTCTCTAGGTTGTAATTTATTACACTAATAATACTATTTTTTTTAACTGTTCCAGATTCAGCCACTGGGAGCCCCTCTGTATTCTTGACATTTCTCTATTTTTTGAGAATTTTCTTATTTTGTTGTACCACAAATGTTCTAGTTTTATCCCATCCTTTTTCCTGTAGAAGTCTGAATCACCAATTTCTCTAAGCCTAGTTCTTTTTTGTAGGATGATATTTAGAAACCAAGATCTGAGTATTAGATTTTTTAATTTTCTAATCAGCTGTCCATTTTGCATTTTATATGATTGATTCAACTTGGGAGACATGATTAGAATAATTATTTTTACCTTTGGCTTTAAAGAACCCAAAATATGGCCATTGGATTTTATGGCATAGGACAATTTAATTTCTTTCTTTCTTTTTTTTGTATTGGGAATTGAATCCAGGGCCATTTAACCACATCTCCACCCCTTTTAATTCATTTACTTATTTTAAGACTGGGTCTCACTAAATTCCTTAGGGCCTTGCTAAGTGCTGAGACTAACCTTGAATTTGTGATTCTCCTGCCTCAGCCTCCAACTCACTGGATTTACAGGCCTGTGTCAAAGCATCAGATCACCAGATTTAGTTTCTTATTGGACCCAGCAGCACATGTCATGAGTAGTAGATGTTCAGAGTGATAATTAACTTTTATAACTCAAGTCAGCAAAAATTTATGCTGTATTATTTTGTATATTTTCAACTTTTTCAGGAGCATATGAGATCATTTCCTTTGTTCTCTGTATATTGAAATAGACCTCATTTTCACATATGCTTGATGCAAATGGGGCTTAAATTGATTTAGGCTAGAATATTAAATTCTGCCCTTTGATGAATTTCACAACTTTCTTTTTCAGAACCAGGGACTCCTTGTGTTGCATAGGGTGAGCCTGAATTCTTGGGCTTAGTTTTCTGTTTCATTTGCCTAAGTAGCTGGGAAATGGGCATGGGCTACCAAACCTAGTTTGTAATTTAATTTAATTTTTTGTATTAAAGATGTAAGTACCACTGACCTACATCCTCAATCCTTTTTTATTTTTTTATTTTGAGACAAGGTCTCGCTAAATTGCTTAGTACTGTACTAAGTTTCTAAGCCTGGCCTGAAACTTGTGATCCTCCTGCCTCAGCCTCCAAAGTCCCTGGGATTACAGATGTGCACCACCGCATTCTGCTTCAACCCAGCCTTTATGGATTTAATTTTATTCTTATTGTTCTTTCTTTATTTTTTTTTAAGAGAGTGAGAGAGGAGAGAGAGAGAGAGAGAGAGAGAGAGAGAATGAGAATTTTTAATATTTATTTTTTAGTTCTCGGCTGACACAACATCCTTGTTGGTATGTGGTGCTGAGGATCGAACCTGGGCCGCGAGCGCGCTACCACTTGAGCCACATCCCCAGCCCCTCTTATTGTTCTTTAGATATTCTTGTTTAAGTAGCTAGGGTTGGTTTGTGAGTAAAAAGAAAAAATTTCCTCTTACCAACTTTAAAAAATATTCTCAATTTTCATAATTAGAAAAAGAAAAAGGAAAATATGAGATGTGTTAAAAATTACAACTATTTAAGAA